ATTTGTGTTTATTCCTTTCCTATTCATGTTTCTTTATTATTTTATTTTAGAATTATTTCCAATTCTAATTTAGGTAAGATATGCTTGGTAAGTTTGTAAATTAGAAGGGATTAGGTTCTCCATATATATGTACTCTACATGTGATTAAAGTGATCCAGGAATTTTTAGGAATCTTTTCCTCTCCAAATCTATTTTTCAACACACGTTGAAGTTTTTGAAACTAAATTCAAAACTCTTGTAAATCTCTCCCTTCCTCGAGTCCACTTCCATAAAGAGAAGTGGACTTACTGGTACTCAAAGCTACATAATGAGAACCCCTTTTCCACTACACAACGGGTGCAGGCTACAAAGTCGAAACACTTGAAATGCTTTTGTTCATCAGTTCTTGACTATATCAAGCAATTATTCAAGTTACGTTCTACAGCTAATCAAAAGCAAACAAAGAAACCTAAAAACGTGATAATTTAAGGGATATGATGTTATACACTTGTTGAATATAATGATATTGAATTAAACCCTCTTGTAAATCTCTCTTTTGCTTTGGTCCTCTTCCACAAAAGGCAGATTTCCTTGAGCTCAAAATTACATAGTGAATACACTACACGAGGGATGTAGGCTAAGAATTTAAACAACTTAATTTTAGTTTTTTCATATGCTCTTGCCTCTCTACTCATAACATTCCCCTCCTTTCCCTTCACCTATACACCCCTCTAAGGAGTCTCTCAGCCCAACCATTACTTCCTATAATGTTGAATGTTATCATGTCTACATGCCACCATCAGAACAACAACAACAACAACAAGTCTTTATTCCACCAAGTGGGGTCGGCTACATGAATCTTTTTCTCTACTGTGTCGTATTAAATGTTATATTTTCATTTAATTCTAATTAAGAACATTTTTTAATACAATATGCCCAAGCCTTTAGTGTCTACCTCTGCCTTTCTTAACATAAGTCGAATCTAAAACATCTACACTCCTAACCGGTTCATCAGATGGTCAACTTTAATATGACCAAACCATCTAAGACGACTCTCTCTAATATTGTTTGTCACTGGAGCTCCCTTTCAAGGATAGATTTGTTTTGCATTTTGACTTCAAGTGTCAAGCAACTCATCCATTCAAGCATTCTCATCTCAGCATCACTTAACTTTGTTTTATGTTTCTCTTTTAAAGGCCAATATTTTTTATCCATAAAGCATTGCAAGTCACCACCATCTTATAAAACTTTCCTTTTAAGTTTAAGCTTACTTTCTATCACACAAAGGCCCGATGCATTCCTCCACTTCAACCAATCAGCCTGAATTTTATTAATAACATCCCCATCTTTATCACCATCACTTTGAATAATAGACCCAAGATATCTAAAATATTCACTTTTTTTTAATAATTTGATCGCCCATAGTTACAACTCTGCCACTAGAGATACTAGTATTAAAAAAATATTCTATATATTCAGCTTTAGATCTACTCAAACGAAAACCTATAAACTCCAATGTAGACCTCCATAATTCAAGTTTTTTTCCTGAACTCTTTATATAGTTTTATCCGCAAGAAAGATATCATCAACGAAAAGCATACCACAATGTACATCATCCTGCAAATGTCCAGTAAGAGCATCCATAACTAAAGCAAAAAGATATTAGCTTCAAGTCGGTCCCTGATGTAGTCCAACTTAAATAGGAACTCTTTTTATTTGAACACAAGTAACAGCTCTAGAATACATAACTTTAATGAATTGAATATAAGTCATATCAACACATTTCTTTTCTATATCACTCCAAAGAACTTACTTAGGAATCTTATCGTAAGCTTTTTCTAAATCAATAAAAATCATTTGTAGAACCTCCTTACTCTTCGTACTTCTCCATCAAACCTCTCAATAAATGTATAGCATTCATAGTAGACTTGCTCGACATAAATTCAAACTTATTATGAGAAATTTTTGTATCCCATCTTAACCTATGTTCAATTACCCTCCCGAAATTTTAAAATATGATACATTAATTTAATTCCTCAATAATTTGCACACTCATGCGCATCCCCTTTATTCTTAAAAATGGGGACCAAAATACTCCCCACAGATACCCATCAGAACAATGACATAAATTAACTCCTCGGACATGTTTAAAAAAACCTTAACATAAAGCTAATAAAATATTAAATCTCCCAATTTGTAAAATAAAATAAACAATTATACTTGGCTGCAAAATTTTAAAATTTGTAGTCCTTTCACCAAACACTTGCACAATAACTTTTTTTAAAAGCATAGGGATGAGAATTATAAAAAAAAAGACATCAAACACAACTATTTTTCAATTATAATCATTTTTAAAATTGAGATATTATAATAGGAAAATGTATGAGTACAAGAAAAGTAATTAGCAAGAATCCTCCAAAAAAAATACACAAGAAAATATATTACTACCATGAATGCTTGTGAAAATAAATTTTTAAGAGCATGTAAACTACGCAATGACTCGTTTGGATCTTCATGCTTAAAGCCTAGTGAAATGTAGAATAGTGACAATACATCTTTTTTTTCTTTTTAAGTCATGTCTCGTTTGCTCAGCATAATTTAAAATCAGTCATTTTAACCATAGAGTCAACACTTTGAGTATCCTCGTCAAAATTATTGAGTTTCTTCCAAATTTGTGATTGCATAATAGAGAATTTGCCTCCAAATGATAGAAGATTGAATTGGATCATTTGATATTACCTCTAGGACCTACATTTTCTCAGTCTTAAATGAGCCTGAAGAAATCAAATAAATTATGCCCAAAAAAAATTTATAGGATGAACAACATGATGAGATACCTTCATATTCAACCCTTTGTCTATCTCTATAAGTTGAGGATTTGTCTATCTCTATAAGTTGAGGAGCCAATCCACGTCTTTTTTAATGAAAAGTACCATCTAATACAACTAGAAGTCTAATTACAAATTGTCTCTAAGGAAATGCAGTAATAATACATATTTACAAAAACTTGTCAATATAGAACCCATGAAATATAAAGTAGGTTGGCTAACATAATAAAAACAAAGGTGACAATAGCAATTTAGAATAGAGTGAAAGGTGGTTCTTCAAAAGAGTCAAAAAAAGGTGGTCATTTCAACATATGAATTAATAAACCACTAATATAGTATAACCATCAAAAGAAAAGCTTGGCGCAGTCTGCCTTGAAAAATAGCCACAAATAAACATCAATAAATAAGGTTGACGAAATGATTTCCAATTAAATATAAAGTTGACATAACTTCACAAAAAATATCCAGGTTCCGGCTACACATATAAAATTTACGAATAGTAAGAAAACAAAAGGGCCTTGCAAGCTCTGTGATCTCTTCTTTAGTGAAGGTGAGAATAGGTTTACTAGTTATGTGGATAGATGCTCATGAGAAGGTGAGAAAAAAATGATAGGAAGATTTAAGGAGAAATACAAAAAAAACTAGAAAGGGAAACTAGAGGCACAAACCTCAAAGGAAAGAAAACAATAAGAAGAGCCTCCAGGAAGCAATCATCGACCATGATATGACCTCATAAAGTATATCTAAAGACCTTGGAGCAACCATTATGGGAGAAATAGGCGAAATCCATTGAAAATCAGTGACAAAGGAGAAGAGGGATGAAAATCAAAAGCTAGAATGGCAGCCATAGCAACATCTGGAGAAAAAGAAAATGAATAAGCACTATAAAGAAGATGAGGGAGAGTAAAAAAATCCGCAAATAGCGAGAATGAACATAGAAGGCAACATGATGGACCTAGGTGCGAAAAAGACTAAGAGAAACAACCCTTCCAGGAGGCAAGTGTTAAAAGGAACCATAAGTCAACCGCATGAGGCATCAATGAAAAAGGTCAAGCAAGTGAGCAAAGCAAAGCACAATCAAAACTGCAGGCAAGAATGCCAAGATGGAGCAAATAACATGAATTTGCAATGTGCACAAGCTAGAATAATTAGTTAGGTACAAATTCATGTGCTACGAGCTCAATTGATGAGCATGAGCGTGGAGAAGAAGTGTGGAGACTTTTCAATTACATCATCATGAGCCATATCTCAACTATTTAGAGTTGGCTAAATTAATCCTCATTTTTCATTCATTCTTGGTGAGTATCGCTTGAGATGTAAAGCAAATTATTTTGAACATTTTTATCCAAATTACTTTATGTTACCCTTTTGCTCTTAATCCTCCAATGTTACTTTATTAAGTCTAAAGGCGCATCCTCCACATTTTGTTTTACACATCCAATTTTCAAGTCATTGAAATAAAAACTCAAGATAATCATGAGGAATATAATAATGGAAGGAGTGTTTATTTTGAGCAAGTATTTGCTACAAAATGAAAGTAACAAAAATAAAAATAAAAAAAAATACTAGCAAGCGACTTCAAAACATAATCCTTCCGAGCAAAGACAACTTATCCACTAAGACGGATGAAGTAAAACCTACCTCAAATTTAAAAAAAAAAAATTATATCCAAAGATGACAGTAGAAAAAAACTAGAAATGAAGATAAAACATAAACAAAAACTTCATGAGGTTAATAAATTAGCTAGTTAAAGGATAAAATCAATAAAATGTAAAGCTATTGGCAAATCATTTTGAACATTATTTGTCTAATTTACCGTATTTCTTTCCTCTTCTTCTTAATCTGCCAAAATTGTTTTGTCACACCTAAAGGTGCATTTTCTACCCTTCATTGTATACATCCAATTTTCAAGATGTTGAGATAAACTCCAGATATGTGTGAGGAATATAATAATGCAAGGAATTTTTTATTTTAAACAACTACTAGCTACAAAATGGTGGTAACAAAAGATAGAAATAATAGCATCAACAAAAGTAGAAATAATAGCATCAAGCATCTTCAAAAGAAGAAACCTTCCAAGCAAAGCCCGCTTATCCAATTATGGGAGTGAACTAAAATCTAACTAAATATTTCTAATAAAATTATCTCCAAATATAACAATTTAAAAAAATTAGAATTGATGGCAAAACATACTCAAAAAGGAACTTCACGTAGTTTATAACATAGCTAGTTAAAGGGTGAACTGTTCCATCAAGCACTGTTGTTTTAGTGGCATCTTTTTCAACTGCCTCTTCAAAATCACCAAATGTTTCTTGAGCAGTCAACGCTAAGCGCTTTGTTAGATTAAAAGACACCTCCCGCAGCTCAGAACAAGCTTTCCCTTCAAATATTAATTCAACCTACAAGAAATTCAGATTTTGGGCAGTAGATTAATGCTCAACACTTAATAATAAAAATAGCTACCAAATAAAAAACTAGTGCATTTACATTTCTCAACTGTGTAGTTCAATGAAATATTCAAAAACAAAAATGAATAGCATATGGCCCAATACACTAATAATATGGGCTCAGATTTATAACTGGAAAACAATAAACCCAAGCCCTAATAAATATGATAAATTTGTTAGTAGCAAAGCAATGACTTCAATAAAGCGTTTCAACCAAAAACAAAAACATTTTATCAACAGAAGGATTTTATCATTCTAAGAAGTCAAATACGATTAACTACATAACTTCAAAAGCTATGAGCTAATCTCCAAACTATGAAAAAAGGGTCCTATTATCACAAGGATGGGCAATGATGGATCTTTTTGCTCCAAGTTTTTCCCCTCAATTTTTTGTAGCTATTGCTGACGTGTTCACTAATTTGTGCTTCAAAGTTTATTAAAAAGAAAAGGGCACAGAAGTGCCTGATCATCCAAGATTTTTTCTGTACATCAAAGCTTCTTTCGTTCACTTTTTTTTTTTTGGTGCCATCCCATTTATTTCCTTTTATGTATATATGGTTCCTTCTTCTTCTTTGCATCAATTCATGGCATTTTATTTTATTTTTTTAAGCTTGCAGAAAGAAATCTCATTCGAGAAGCCATCAACTGGCAGGTGACTTCTCTATGCCCTTTAAATTGTCTTAATACCTCCTCTTCCCTTTTCATCCTGAAACACCATGCCCTTTAAATTATTTTAATGCCTCCGCTTCCCATTTCATCCTGAAACACCAGTTGTTTTGGTTTCTCATCTCTTCCCTCATTTCTCTTTATAGTTGCTTTCAGAAGCTGCAATTTGTTTCTGCCAAGAGTTTACAAAACTATCTACACCTCCTTGCTGAATATTTCCCCCAACCTGCTTCATAAAATCACTAGAAAATTGGTCATAGCTTCCTGCCGGAATTTTGCAACCTTGAATAAACCTAAGATAAATGTAATTTTCCATTATTTTAAATTGCCAATGTTCTATTCTGAGATAACGTGTACAATGTCTTCAAGAACAAAGCAAACAATAGATTTCATAGTTATGCAGTCATATTCATAAGTGCATCTGTTAAAAGTTAATGTCTCTGTTTAGATTGTTTTCACTAGTTAAGTTTTACTAGCAGCTATTGATACAGAAAAGCAAAAAAAACAAAAAAAGTTCAATTCACAGATGAAGAAAAAAATTAGCCCATAAAGAAAAATGAATAACTAAGCACGAAGCAATGACTAGAGTTTCAATCGGCTAAGATAACAAACTTCATTCCATGTTCGAGCAAAAAGGATGCTTTAAGAAAAAAAGAAAGAGTGATTCTCTTTTTTTCCGTCTCAAGTTCTTATAGCAATCATATTTTTAACCTTTCAGAAAACATTTAACAGAATTCCCACAAGTGCAGCATCTTTTTTTTCAGTTTTCTGCAGAAATAAGCAGCTGTTATTGTAGTTTAAGCCCAATTTTCTCATAAGCAGTCAACCTTATTAGTTCCCAAAAGCAAAGGGTTGCAAATAAACCGAGTGTTTAGCAAGTTACATGTAACTCGGCTTGATAAGAGCTCATTAATATTTGTTTGATTAATTAATTGAACAAATTTGAACACTTTTATAAATGCTCGATTGTTAAATGAACAAGCTTGAACACCTAATTGTTCAATTGGTTTATGTTCGTGAATAACATCATTTAAAGCATGTAAACAAACCCGTTACAAAGCTTGATAAATAATTTCATTTAGAGTTCATAAATAATATAGATTTAATGCTTATAAACAAAATCAGTTAAAACTTAATTCAATCTTCAAAATAAGTTCAATCAAAGCTTAGTTTAAATTTCATTTATACTAAATTAAATTTTAATTTGTAGTACTCAAGAAAAGATAAAGACTTAATTATTTAGTTTTTTATTTATTTTACACATTTATTTGGTAATTTTAATAATGCATTTAAAAGCTCATTCATATTTGTAAGTTCAACAAGTAACACATTATAAGCTCGATAAAATTTGATTCATTAGAAAATAAAAAGTTCAACCACATCACTCTTTATTTCGTTTGATAACTCTTATTTTTAACACAATAGCTTTAATTTAAATTTGCTCAATAAAAATTGTTTGGATAGAAATTAAGTAGCCCGATAATTTAGTCATTAATTTATTTGATAATAATTCGAGTGTCATCATACGAAACGAACAAGAAACTCAAACAGGAACTAAGCTTGGATATAAACACAGCTTGATTAGAGCTATAGCTAAACTCGAGCTTGAATTTTATAAACAAGCTCGGGAGTTGTAGACAAATTTAGGACATACTGAATTTACTCGACCTTGTTTCCCCCACCCACTTCTGTGAAGAGAGTTAAAAGTTTTTTAGGTCATGTTAGGTTCTATAGACAATATATTAAGAATTTTTCTAAAATTACCAAACTCCTATGTCATTTACTGAAAAAAAGATGTCTCATTTGATTTTGACCAAAATTGTCTATCTATCTTCAAAACGTTAAAAAAAAAATTAGTCATTGCACCCATTATTGTTTCACTTGATTGGGAGAGTCCTTTTGAATTAATGTGCGATGTTAATGATTATATTATACGGATAGTGTTAGATCAAATGAGAGATAAGATGTCTAGAACTATATACTATGTCAGTATGATTCTTAATAAGACTCAAATTAATTATATTACCACTAAAAAAGAGTTTCTTATCATAATTTATGTTATTGATAAATTTAGGTCCTATTTGACTGGAACTAAATGCACTGTTTTTACCGAGCATTCAGCAATTCGATATCGGATTTCCAAAAGGAAGCTAAATCATGATTGATTAGATGGGTCTTATTATTGTAGAAATTTGATATCGAAGTGGTGGATAGGAAGGGTTCAGCAAATCAAATAGGAAACCACTTATCTAGGCTTGATGAGGGAAATTTTTATGACTTATGATAAAATTAATGAAAATTTTCCTGATGAGTGACTTCTCACTTCTTCTGATTTGAGTGTCCTATGGTATGCAGATAGTATAAACTTTATAATTAGCGATATTTTACCTTTTGATTTGTCATACCACCAGAGGAAGAAATTTGTTCGTGATATCAGATACTGCTTTTGGGATAACCCTTACCTATATAGAAAATATAAAGACCAGGTGATTATGAGATGTTTACCCCAAGAAAAGACCCAGGATGTGATTAGGAAATGTCATGACTTAGAATTTGGAGAGTAATTGGGTTTTATAGAACTGCATCTAAAATTTTACAATCTAGATTTTACTGACTTACTATATTTAGGGATGTAAATGATTATATTAAGACTTGTGACAGATGCCAAAAAGTAGGAAATATATTTATGAAAGATGAAGCACGTTTAAACTATACTTTGGAAGTTAAAATTTTTTATGTTTGGGGTTTAGATTTTATGGACCCTTTTGTAACTTCGTTAAAAAATCTTTATATATTGGTAGTTCTAAATTATATCTCAAAGTTGATAGAGGCAATAGTTCTCCCTAATTAGGCTCATACCGTATCCAAGTTTTTGAAGAAGAATATATTTTGCAGATATAGAATACCTATGGTAATACTAGTGATGGGGAATGCCACATTAGAAATAAAAAAATTGAGACAATTTTTGGAAAATACAGAATTAATCATAAAATATTCACAGTCTGTCACCCTCAAACAAATGGTTTAACAAAGGTATCTAATAGGGAGATAAAGAGAATCCTAAAAAAGATTGTTAACCCAAATAGGAAAGATTGAACTTTAAGACTAAATGTTTTATGGACTAATAGAACAATAATTGACGGTCAAACCATAAATTGACACTTTTTTTCCTATTATTGTTTTGTAAGCAGTTCTTCTATATGAAAGTGTTGCATTTCTCACTGAGTGCTATAGTCTCAAAATCTCCTAGCTTTCCTTTTTTTTGTTCAAAATATGCTTCATAAATTTTATATAGTCAGGCATCTGCTCAAGGCCTCAGCAAAAGGGATATTAACGGTCAACTTCTTAAACACTTACAAAATCGGAAAAATTCTTGATCCAACTTGTGTTTTTAAGGTCTCTGGGGAAATGGTCTTTCTAAGTCCTTCCTAATGGGTGCAGCTGGTCTCCCTCAGTCCTTTGAAGAGTTTTCAATGGGTCTTTCAGGCTCGGGATTTCTTCTACCACTTCAAGCTCCTTCCTAGTTACCTCCAATTCTCTTTCACTCCTCAATTTAATAGTTTTTACATATTCGTTATTCTTATCCTCAGAGTTAACATCGGTGTTACTAGAAAGAGTTCCTTGGGGTTAGTTACTAAGGGAATTTTTTATTTGGTCGAACTGATTTTCAATGTTTCTTATGGCCACAGTTTTACTCTGCAGTTGATTTCTCATTTGCAATACTACTTCCTCCAAAGACTTTTTTTTCCTTAAACTGTTGATTTTAGTTAAATTCATGTGGGTAAGGAAGTCTCAAATTGGTACTACTCTGATTATTCCAATTCCTCAATGGATTTGCTTGATTATTCTCTCGCTGTTGGTTTTCCATCCCTTGACTATTATTGTTTCAATTAAAATTGGGATGATTCTTTCACTCGGGATTATAGGTATTGGAATAAAAGTTATTAAACCTATTAATAAAAATCAAGGTCTCGAGAGGCAAAGCACTAGTATCCACCAGTTGTCCATATGAATTCTCCTCTGTTATTGGTGATCATTGTGGTTGATTTAACCCTAAAAGATCTAGCTTCCTAGGGATAGCCGCTACTGGAAGTCAAAATTGAAAGAACATTTGTGTTATGAGCTCTATGTCACGGACTAACTTTCCTCAAGTCACCCGTGCAGCTTTAGCGCTCTTTTTTAGCACTAAACCAGTCTTACCCCTCACAACACTGGACTTATGAGCCCCAAGCACTCTTAAGAAAAATAATAGAGAGAAGGGAATAATTAGCACTTGAATACTAGAA